TAGATGTCAGCGGCACAGAGACTCTGGTTTGTCCTGGTCCTATTTAGCAAGATTGACTCTCACTGAGAGTTCAAAGCCTGCCATCTGACAGATGACAGACTGAGCTTGCTATTTGACAGACAATCAAAGTATGAATTGGACTAAAGCATTTGTTGCTTAAAAAGTCAATGTTCAACATGCTTAAAAGTTCAATATTCAACATTCACCAAACTGAGTAAGCAAGATGGTAGAGTAGTAACGTTCCTCAGCTGAAGGTTGTCCATTCTGATTGCTTTTCTTTTCTTTTTCTCCCCCCTTTTCTTGTCCTTTTCTCTGTTCTATTTTCATTACTTACCTCTTGAGCTTGGGTTGCATTGGCAGCAGACCTTGGGCAAGCTCAGCTCAGACCTTGAGCGCGGGGGGAGAGCAGGCCCAGCGCGGGGGGAGAGCAGGCCCAGCGCGGGGGGAGAGCAGGCCCAGCGCGGGGGGAGAGCAGGCCCAGCGCGGACCTTGAGCATTTGTAAAACTGGAGCCCTGGGGGCAGTGGCGGTAACAGAGTGTGGCAGCAGCTGGGGCCCAGCATGAGCCCAGATGGTGGCCAGCAGCGACTGGAGTCGAAGCCTTGCAAAGAGTGGCAAAGCCTGGCATACCCAGGCAGGTCTTAGCTCAGCGCAGGGGAGAGCGAGACCTCTTGGGGTAAGCCCAGCTTGGAGCATCTGCAGGCCCATGGCTTAAGAAAGGGCTGTAATGTTTGACATTTTAATTTTATTTCTTTATTTTTCTACTTTTATGCTACGAAGACTGTAGTGCTTAATTTTTTAAACTTATTTCTTTATTTCTCTATTTCTGTAACTAATATTTTGTACCTAGGTACTCAAGATGGCATGCATGACATTGTATACCTTTCACTGTACTCTTGTATCCTGTACTTGAGTACGCATGGGGCGGCATGGTAGCTCAGTGGTTAGCACTGCTGCCTCACAGCACCAGGGACCGAGGCTCAATTCCAGCCACAGACGACTGTCTGTGTGAAGTTTGCACATTCTCCCTGTGTCTACGTGGGTTTCCTCCGGGTGCTCCAGTTTCCTCCCACAGTCCAAAGATGTGCAGGCTAGGTGGATTAGCTGTGCTAAATTTCCCATAGTCTATCCCTGCATTTCCCACCCCAGATACTAAGGAATAGGTATCGGGGGGGATGCTCTTCAGACGGTTTGGTGTAGACTCGATGGGCTGAATGGCTTGCTTCCACACTGTAAGGATTCTATGACAATAAAATCTAAAGAACTCTTGTTGTGTAGAGCAGTATCACAGGCCATTGAAAATGGATTCAAACACATTTCAAAAGGTAAAATGGGTAAAGATTTGATCCATTGTGGCACAAGCTGCTTCTCCTCCCACCCCTTCATTTGTAGCAAGCTTTGCATTTTCAAAGCACTTATCTGAAGAAAACACTCCAGTCTGAAACCCAAGGATTAATACAATGGATGGGGATTTGTCAGCACGGGGCTGAATTGGATTTAGTAGAAACTGATAGGATACAGTATTCCTATCAAATCAGCAGTATGCCAAGGCTCAGTTTATTGTATTCTATGCCTTCATTTGGGTCCTTACAACCCACAGCACATCAAGTGCAGTCCAGTGTAATAGACTTTCAGCCCTAACATACTGTTCAAAACCTCCATCTAAAGCAGGTCCAGTTACTGAACAGGCTGCTATATTTATCTTTGAACCAAGCCACAGACCTGCATACTGGCAATGTCACAGTGACTATTCTCTGGGGTTTACATCAGCCTCAGCAAAATGTATTCAATCAGCAAGAGACTCAGTTACATCCTACACAGCCTTCTCCAGCCAGCAAAGAGCAGATGGACTCTGAACCCAGGAAATGTTAATCCAAAGAAATGATCAAATGACAGCTTGTGTGGTTTAAGTAGGGGTGATACTGTACTAGCTATAGCAGGCTCCTTTCCTACCCTGAATAGCTCAAAAACATATTACTCAATGTAACACACTGGAAAGATAACTAATCTAAATCATTGTTGGCAGATCAGACTATTGCATGACTTTGAAACGTGTAACTTCCAGATCAAGGAGTAAACAATCTTAGCTAAACCACCAATCCAAATGCATAAGTACTGCAAAAACTGGCAGCACCAGGAGTATCAAATACACAACTTATACTAGGTGACTATTTGAAGACCCATAATCCTGCCAAAGGGCATTCAGCCAGTTTTATGGGTTAGAAGAGCAAAAAGATGTTACACTTCACGTTATTGGCAGTTCCAAGTTCCTGAGCCATTTTAAGCAACCACAGAGCAGCATTTATAATAAGCATTGACTTATTTTGGTACCTCCTGTAAGTAAAAAATGTCTTGACCCAGGAATCATTTTTAAAACTAAATTTGCTTATAAAAACATTTCAGTGGAAATGGAGGCAATATGATAGGCAAAAAAAAATCAACTTGCAGTTAATAAATCCTATTATTTTACAACTGAGTGCTTACAATGGGCCATAAAGTTCTTGTTTTGTAGGAAAGGCTTAATGTTGCAAGTAAAGTCATTTACCAGAAATTGGCATGCTTGCTATATTTTGCATACCTTCATGATTTAAGGTAAGTGTGCCATAAACTCCACAATACCCAGGTCACTGAATGAAGGCAGCTCACACAACTGCCAATTTGAGGTGGATGATAGAATCACTGAATGGTGTCAGCACCGAAGGAGGCCATTCAGTGAATCATGTCCATGCTATTGCTTTGCAAAAATAATTCAATTCGTCCAATTTTTTTTTGACCTGCAATTTTCTTTTTCTCTTCATTATCCAATTATCTTTAGAGTCTTTGAGCAAATTTTCCTCCACCACGGTGCATTCCAGAACCTAACCACTTGCCATGTAAGAAAGATTTCCTTCCTTTCAGACACTGGTTCATTTGTCATTCACATTAAATTGGTGTCCTCTAGTTTTCAATTATTCCGTCAACTACTTTGCCCAGATCCCTCATGATCTATCAAATCTTCTCTTCTTCATCTCTTCTCCGAGAAGAAATAGTCACAGCTTCTATTAATGTCTCCATGTAACTGAAATTCTTCAACCCTAGAGCCATTGTTGTTCATCTTTTCTGCACCTTCTCCCATGCCTCAACATCCTTCTTAAAGTGTGGTGACACTTGACAACTGGATATTATCAGCAAACCAAGGAAATTACCACAGATAACCAAATTCATCTACAATTCACCTACAAGTTCATCAAGAAACATCTGTACTGTGGAAACGTCATGTAGCACAGACAGCATTAACAGGACCCAAATGTAACAAGATTTACAAAAGTCACTAGTGTTCCAGTTATGCTAGACTGCAGAACCACTTTTGGCAATTAAATCTCCAAAGTAAACTGAACTATTCCATCATACAACATGTACCTAATGAAAAATAATTTGAACTACCTTCAAACTTAAAAAAAAGCCTTCAATTAAAAATGTACACTGCTTAAAAAACAATGTTGTACAGAATAACTCAACTGCTTTCCCCTAACTCCAATGGTTTTCCAGAATTAACCTACCATTTTGATTTAAAACACAGAGGTATAGGGTGGTATTTAACAGAGGTGACATGTGATAGTTTCACATTGTCTCTTTTAGGGGAGATCTGTGCATCTTGTGTACTCACACAGTTGACAGGCATCCTGTGGGAGGAAGGACTCTGCTGGAGCAGATTCCCTCACTGAGACCTCCGAACTATCTCAGACCAGCAGCACCAGAGCAGGGAGGGGCAATGATTGCTTCCAATACTATACCCACCAGAGGCTTTGGATTGTGGATGGACTCAGGCTACAGGCTATGGTAGGGGAGTGGCTCAAAATCGCAATGGCTTCCTGTAAAGTTTCCAATGTTAGGTCCCTCAATCAGGTATTGAGTGTCTTTGACTGAGGGTGTCACCATTACCCACAGCTAAGCAAGCCACTCAGTTCAAGGACATTAAGAGATGGACGACAAATATTGACCTGGCCCACATCCCCTGAAAGAATGAAGAAAATGACCACATCAAAACCTGCAATCATCCTCCCCTCCAAAATTCCCTCTCCACTCCTATCTCCTCTCCGCTTAAAGCTCCAAAGCCCTCCCCACCAAACCTCCTCAATACTACTCCCTACCAAATCTGCCAAGCCCTCAGCCCACCAGAAACCCCCCCCAAGTTTCCTCCCCACCAAACATCCCCCTCACCAAAACACCCCGTCTCTCTCCTCACCAAAACCCCACCTGTCCCACTCCCCATCAAAAACCCCCATCCCTCACCCCACC